ATAAAAATCGTATTTTATTTTGTACAGAATAATTGTTATTTACTTTATTACATGCAATTAATATAATCAAATTTAAAACCAAATTTATAAATTTGGTTTATTTTTTTTAAAAAAAAAACTGTATTTGCAAAAGTAAAATTAAACATCAATTATTAGCGCTTCATTTCACGTCTGATCAGATCGAAGTTAATAGAAGCAATCGATAGAAACGATTACGTTTAAAATCTATATGCGGAATCTGTGGTGCACAAATTGAAATTAATTCCGCTAGTAAAATATTCTTTGAATCTGCAGATTTTATTATGCGTCAGACATGTCGCGCATCTACTTTTTGAATTTTTATTATGTTTACAAAATTTTTTAAACTTTCCACACATTGAAACAAAATCGAATTTTAAACACTGACATATGTCATATAATGGATAGGGACAGTGATTACATTGATAATATCGAGAATGCTTGTAAGCTTTTACTTCTATGTGTGGCTACCTAGATAAACATGATATGTTAATAAACTTTACTATGGTATTGAATTTGATACATGAGTAGATTCAACATTTGATATTTTACTCGTGACATTCGTATTCTGATGAAAAAAAACGAATACTTCCAGTATTAAACGACAATTAGATTTTAAATTATTATGTTCAATTTGAAAATTGTATAACCGAAAAGACTAGAATAATCGGTCAGAACTTGCTTTTCAATCACATGTACTATACAAATAATATTGAGATCTCGCACTTAGTGATGTGATCCGTTGATCGGCAATCCGGATAACTGTTTGAAATCCGTATTTTTATGTAATCCATATCATCCGTACGTATATTGCCGATCAACTACTTGAACAACAGTTATTAGTAGTTAAAACTACTCAAACTATAGTTATTTGTAGTTAACTACCAAAGTATAGTTAATTGTAGTTAACTACTCAAACTATAGTTAATTGTAGTTAATTACTCAAACTATAGTTAATTGTAGTTAACTACTCAAACTATAGTTAATTGTAGTTAAGCTACAAATAATTATAGTTTAAATAAGTTAATTGTAGTTAACTACTCAAACTACAAATAATTATAGTTAACTGTGAAAACTATAGTTAATTGTAGTTAACTATTAAAACCGTATGAATTATAGTTAACTATAGTTATCAATAGTTTTAGTATAAAAACCAATTAAATCTATACAAGCTATTGAATTTAAGTTATGTAAATTGGTCAATAAATAGAAATAGCAAATTAACCATATAAATATAATTTTGATAATATTTGTCTAGATAAATAAAATCAAATTGCATTAGTGTTTCATCTTTAATTATATTAAAAAAATGTCTGCTCATAATAAAGACAATGTTGAAGCATTAACCAACATATGTGATAATGAACAAATGTCTAATAAAAAAATCAAGGTTAATTATTCATGAGATGTTAACCTTAGAAGCTGGACCTGGTTGTATTTCAATATTAATAATATAAGAAATGCAATTTGTGATATTAAGAAGATAAAAGGAGAAAAATGTAATGTATTGGGTAAACATATCAACAAGTAACTGTGCTGCTTATCTTTCAAACATCATGGGATAACTGAAAACTATGTTAATGATACAAAATTGATTATATCTTATATTGAGTCACATTAGCTTTATTTATGCCAATATCTTACAGATTGGATTATAACTGACTCACAGGCACTTATTATTCTTCTAAACCCAGCTTTTAGATAGTTTATAACTGAATTGGATTCAAGGCTTCAGATCCCATGTATCAAATATATAAAAAAACTTATATATATAGCCTACAACTAGTCTTTGAAGTTAATTATGAAAAAAGTAAAAGATAATTTAACTTCTGTATTATTAACATGTGATTTTTGAACTGGAAACAATTGGCAAGAATTTTTAGGCATAACATGTTCATATATAGATTATAACTTTCAACTTAATGAGATCATGATTTCTATTGAGAATATCCATCATCCCATATAGCTGAAACTATTAGTAATACCATTCTTGCACTATTAGATAAATGAGAATTGCATAATAAGGTCTTTATGATAACTACTAATAATAGTAGAAACATACAAAAAGCTATCAAAAACTTAAATTATGTAGCAAAAAATATAATCTAGCAGCCATGAACAGCATATACTCTTCAATTAGTAGTTAGCAAAGGATTAGAACTGGTTAAAATTCTAGTTAAACATATTAAGCATTTGATTGATTTTTTTAAGACCAAAACAGTCTGAATGTTAGGAGAATATCCAAAATCAATATAGAAAATCAGATAAGATTTATAAGCTTTATATATTTTTTTTAAATTATTTGTTTATATTTTTTTAAAGATTTAATTCTAGTTTTATAGAATTCCAAAAAGATATCAAAATATTTAAGGTACATAATTGCAGATATTCCAACTCACTAGAACTCTAGTTACCTAGCATGGTACCATCTCTTAGAATTAGAAAAGTATATTCATATATTAGAAGTAGAATTAGCAGAAGATATGAATTTAGATGCTAAGAAAAATTTCAATATTTATCCAAAATAATATTAACAAATAATAAGTGGGTGTTGCTTTGTGATTTGATTCCATATTAGGTCTATTTGAAGAAGCAACATGATAGATACCTGGGTAGTAGCAATTATGTTAAATATAGTACAATGAATCCTATAATAATGCATATTATTAACAAGCTTAAACCTGCATTAGTACTATCAGAGAAAATAAATATTGAAAGTATCAAGGATATATTTTTTTAGGGCTTGAAATTTGTGATGACAAATATGATTTACAGAGTCTAAACAAACCTATGCAAACATCTGGAGCTTTGGAAAAGGTCAAAAAAAACTTATATCATGCAATAAAATTTTATTGGAAAAAAGACAATGATAAATCATATTTACCTTCCATTCTTGACCCTTGGATCAAAAAGTTTGATTTTGTATCAGATAAAATAAAACAAGTTCAGAATTTGTTAAGAACAAAATATCAAAAAGAAGCATCACCAACTTCAATATCAGCTGTTTCAAATATTTCTCATGTTTATAATACCCAATCTGGACCTTCTCTTTACACACCAACACTTTTTAACATATTTAACAATTTGCCAACTACCAATTCACAAAGTAAGTTTGATATATACCTTGCAGCAGTATTGTACATAGAACAATTTTGAACAACTTTAGACATTTTTTTGAATTAAAATTACTTAAAATTTTATTAAGATAATTTATTTTAATTTTTTCACCAATGAGTTCAGCACCTAAAAAATATATAATTATATATTTTTTAAATTACTTTATTGATTAGTTAAATAGGGACATAGGCTTGGATGATTTTGGACAATTTTGGATATTGAACATTTTACATAGTGCAGTCAGGGCATATTTCCAATTTAGTTATTGATGATTTGCACCTTATTTATAAATGATCAACAGTCAGATTATTCTAGAATCTTATTCAAATTTTCACGGCAAATATAAAATAAAGAAATAATTTAAAATAAATTAAAATAAAAAACAATTAATTTATATACTGTATATAAAAAATAAAATAAAAAATAAAAAAAATAAAAAATATTTTATAATTTATTTATTATTATGTTATATTACACTAGAGTTGGGCAACGAATTGGAACCTATCTGAAACTAGTTTCTGAAAGGTTTTAATCCAAAACTAGTTTTGGATTTTTTAAAAAAAATTTAAAACCCGAAACCCCAAAACTATAATCCGAAACCCCAAAACTATACAACCAATCAGATTGCAGGATTTTGTAATCAAAACAATAGTAAAACTTGGATGACAAAATATTTTACTGAGTACTAAATTTGCATACAAAGTAAAAGTTTTTAGTACAAAATTTTACATATAATTTATTCAGCTAACTAAATTTTACCTAAACCCTAAATATTTGATTTTTAAAAAATTTTAAAATTTTATAATAATTGATGTTTAGATTAAAATATTTAATAAAAATTTTTATTTTTCAAAAAATGCCTATAAATATTACTTATAAATTATTAAATAGTTTTGATTGTAGAATAAGATTAATTCATTGATATTTATCCTAATGATTTATTTTTTTTAATATTATTACTAAATATATACAAAAATCTTTCATATTTATTAATAGCTTAATTTATGTGTAATACATAAATTTATATCTATACCATATTTATAATCAATTTTTAACTTATACTAAAATTAAATCTCGGTATTATTAATGTACAAATACAGTTAGCTGATAATAATTCATTGGAATGAACAAATATAAAGTTTTAACAGGTTCAGGGTTTCGAATAGGTTTTTAGGTTTTGGTTAAGGTTTCAGGGTTTTGGATGAGATTTTGGAAACTATAATCCAAAACCTGAAACTTTCAGATTTGGCAAAAAAGGTTTTGGTGCCCAACTCTATATCACACTATACCATATTTCAAATCTAACTACTGTGTTAATAATTATGCTATAAATCCTAAATCTAACTAATTTAACTATCATACTATAAATTCTGAATCTAACTACTTTACTACTAATCTACTACCATGCTAACCATGCTACCTGTTTCGAATTCAACTCTGACTATCCAAAAAATCTAACTCTACCCAAAAAATCTAATTCTACCATGCTATGTCCAAAAAATCTGACTCTATTATATTATATTCAAAAAATCTAACTACTGTGTTATACCCAAAAATCTAACTACTTACTATATTAAAAAAATCCAACTATTATACTATATTCAAAAAATCTAACTATTGTACTATGTTTAAAAATTTAACTCTACAGTGCTATGTTCAAAAAATCTAACTCTACCATGCTATGTTCAAAAATCTAACTCTATTAAGCTATATACAAAAATCTAACTACTGTGCTAACTCTACTATGCTCTACCTGTCCTGAATCTAACTTTATTGTACTACAAGTCCTGAATTTAACTCTGCCATGCTATGCCCAAAAAATCTAACTCTAACATGCTATATTCAAAAAATTTAACTCTACTATGTTACATCCAAAAACCCAACTCTACCCTGCTATGTCCAAAAAATCTAAATACCATGCTATGCCTAAAAAAATCTAACTTCATTCCTAATTCAATTTCAGGTTCCATTTCAAGTGAAAACCTACAATACAATAGAGAAAAAAGCTTAGTTCTTATAAAAAAAGTTTAATAAAACAAAAAAAACACCCCAATAAATAGTGTTTCTATAAACGACACCCCAACAATAATGACAAAGTTCACAAGTTTCTTGTTTCAATTAGCAAATTTAATGTCAAAAATCCTGATCTTAAGGTCTCACTCATCTTTTTTAGTTCAAGTTATAATTAGAGATTAATTGGAATGATCGAAAGTAGATGCATTACAATATCTATTCAAATATTGTTTGGTAACAAGTATAAGTAAAAATCTTGTGAAACCTTTTGAGAGAAAATGACATAAAAAACGTGACAGAGCTAATCAAATTTTGCTAAATTTCATAAATCATTCTAGATCTTCAATTTCAAATTGGAATATGCTCTGACTGTAGTGTGGACATGTCCCATGTACAACACTGCCTTGTGGCACCTCAAATATCCTTTAAATCTAATCCATTTGCATATGGAACTACAACAAACAGAAATTTCCTGTTATAAGCAAGTTAGCACTTGCTTACCTTGCAGTTCTGGCCATATCAACATCTTCTAAAATGTTATTTTCAAATTCTGGCAATTTGATGGGTTCCAAGGGGACACACATGAGCCCTGAATTTTTCAAGCATTTAATGTTTTTGAAACAGAATTACAATACTCTGGATAACATTTACCTATAAATTTAATTAATATACTTAAATATTACATTTTATGCATATTCAAATATTTATGCCAATACTTTATAGCATATAAAAAATTTAATTACAAATATAAAGCTTATATAAATAGTTGGATTTTTTGATTTTGGTGATTATTAAAATTAATAATAAAATTTAATCTAGTCATTTATATGATATTGCATTGAATTGTACAATTATATTTGCTTTTTTTAGTAGCTAATTATTAGAATTAATGAAAATATTTCATAAAATTTAATCTAGTTATTTATGTTATATTACATTGAGCTGTACTATTATATTTGCTTTTTTAGTTGTAAATTGCCAAAGCTGCATAATATTTCATATATTACTTAATTTTAATAATTATAACAAACATTTCTATTAAAAAATTCGCTAAATTATAAACACAATAGAAACTACAGTTAGCTGTAGTTAACTATTAAAGCTATACATATTATAGTTAACTGTTAACTATTAAAGCTATACAGATTCTAGTTAGCTGTAGTTAACTATTTAAGTTATACATATTATAGTTAGCTGTAGTTAACTATTAAACTATTAAAGCTATATTAGAATTGCCAATCAACTATTCAAACTACAAAAACTGTATAGTTTGAATAGTTAATCAGCAATCCGCATAGTTTGTAACTATACCAAGAACGGAGTGCATGGTTAAGCAGCATATGAAGTGTTTATGTACAAATCCATGCTTTTGATTGGATATAAGGTTTCTACAAACCCAAATCAAATCAAACTTTAGGCCAAGTTTGAGTTTGATTTGATTTTAAATCAAACCTGATCTCAAACTAGCATTAAAAAAAATATTTGAGTTTGATTTGAAGCAAACTTTTTTAGTTAAATTTGAGTTTGATTT